ATATTTCTTATCTTACAGATTCCGAGGGAAATTTAAAGAAGCCTCTGAAGCAGGTTTTTTTATTGTGCCTGGAATCACGAGGTGGTCTACCACTATAGTCCATGTTACTATGAAAAAGTTCTCAGAATTACTTCACTAATTTAACTAACAACAAAAATTCAACCAAAAACATCAAATTACTTTTCCCAGGGAAGATGAAAACAACAGCGTTCACTTTCTGACTCTTCAAACGGTTCACACTTGGCGAAAATTGAAGGCATTGACAAAATAGGTAGTTGATATGTTTATGTTGAAATTAACTTGGTAAAGTGATAGACTTTTATTAATGAATAAAATAAATATAAGCACAATTCCTTTTTATTGTTCAAAGTGGTATTTTTTTCGTAGTCTTCATACCACACTCCAAAAATTGGTTTCAGTTCATTCGATGTTTATATCAGTTCCTTTTACATTGTTCTACGGACGAGCTGTATTTGTAATTTAGGCAACCAATATTCCACTTCGTTTCAAAAATCCCGCCTAATCAAAACGGTTGGGTAAGGACACGTTGTTCCAATATTTGACGAGCTGTCTTTACTGAATGATATGCTGTGGTATAAGTAAGGTGTCTCAACTCCATTAATAAATTTTCATAAAACGGGCGCTTAAAAACTGGTATCGTAGTAGGTTGTGGGAACTTAAGATTAGTGTCCCTGTAGAGAGAGTTCCGCAAACCTCCGCCATTGTAACTCCAACACTACGCGCCAACTTTAAACGGACCAAGTTGATGAGAGGTATGAATAATAATAAATTTTTAGAATAAATGTAAAACGAAGGACAACTTTTGAATCGAAACAAAGTATTATTTCCCAATTTTATTCACACCATCCAGGTTATAATACTGTTTTAATTTGGATCTTAATGATATAACAATAATTTAGGTATACGAACGAAAGGTCAATGAAACGCAGAAATACTGAAATGTCTTATTGCATTTTGTTTGCCAAAATACGCATCGCAATACCCTTAATACTGGCACTATTGGTAAGAATTTTTTTTATCTATAAACTTATTTCCATGTTTTCCCAGTAAATAATATTATATACATATTATATATACACGCACTATACACACATTCGCGCCCTGTTTTTGCCCGAAAAACAACAAGCAAAACCAAGATTCGTAAAGTATACAGGTTGCCTGGTAACTAACGAGTGGTGGGAGGTGTCGCCATATTGCTACGTCATCCAGCGTGCCCACAGCTTGCAGACAGCTTGTTTACTGTAGTGAAACTGAGTGATTTTGTTGAAAATTTGTTGTTCTACCGGTGTTTATAGTAGTATTTTATGGTAATAGGTATTAATTGTAAACAAGTGATGTGTTAGCTATATTCTTTTAATTTATTAGATGCCTGGAGGAAGTATTTGTAGCGTTGCTATTTGCAAGAACAATTCCAAGAAGGCGAAAGAAAGTGGACAAAGTCAGATGTTTTTTAACTTCCCTAAAGATCCCCAGATTAGGAAGGAATGGGTTAGGAAGTGCCATCGGAAAGACAAATTTGACCCACAAAATAAAAGAGTTTGCAGCGATCATTTTACACCCGATGATTATGAAGATTTGTTGCAAGCTAGATTATTAAAAATTAGGCCAAAAAAATTGAAAAAAAACGGTATGTAACGTGGTTTATGCTTTGTAACATTCTCTAAAATATACAATTTTTAGCTGTTCCTTCTCTACACTTACTGAACGAGTCATGTAGCTCAACCACTGCAATTACAGAACGGACAAAGAGAGCGGAAATAAAGCAGAGGAAACTTTTTGTAGAAACTTTAATAACAACTCCACAAACAGCTTCATCAGTTGAATCTGCTACACATTTATGTGATCTACCTTCCACCAGTACAGACGTATTTACAACTTCAACTAGTATGAATGTAGTTGAAACTTCAGCCAATGCAACAGAACAATTAAGAATAAAAATAATAGAATTGAAATCAGAGAATGAAAATTTGAAAAAACAAATTTTGGATTACCAAAGTAATGAAGAAAAAATGCGGAGTCAAATTGCAGAGTTTGAGAAGCAGCTAAAAGAAGCTCACTCCAATTTTGAAGATAAAGTGAAAGAAAGTTTCAAGGATTTATTAAGTCCTAATCAAATTGAGATAGCTCTAAAGATTAAGAAAAAAGCGAGATGGACCCAAGAAGAATTATCTCGAGCTTTCACCCTCAGATATTTCAGCAAAAGAGCATATATATATTTAAGAACCATCTTACACTATCCATTACCAGGTTTGTCTACATTACAGCAGTGGGCTGCAAATATAAATCTGCGCAATGGGGTGCTTACGGACGTTTTAAGAATCATGGAGACTATGGGTAAAAGCAAAACGTTATTACAGAGGACCACTGTTTTATCATTTGATGAAGTCAAAATTGCGAGTCTGTTTGAATATGATCAGAAAGAAGATGAAGTAGTGGGGCCTCATTCGTACATGCAGGTCATGATGGCTAGAGGTGTGTTTGATGCATGGAAACAGCCGGTGTTTATAGCTTTTGACACAAAAGTCACTAAAACTTTAATTAATAACATTTTAACATGTTTACATGATATTGATTATAATGTTGTTGCTTGCACATCTGACTGTGGAGGAGGTAATCAGGGACTTTGGAAAGAATTCAATCTAAGCATTGAAAATTCCAGTATCTTACATCCAAGCACTCAAAAACCTGTTTATTTCTTTGCTGATGTTCCCCACCTATTGAAGTTAGTGAGAAATTGGTTCCTAGATACAGGCTTTATTTTAAAAGATGGAACTTTAATTAATGTGGAGCCAGTGAGAGCACTTGTTGATGCTACAAGTAGCGAGATAAGTTCTTGTCACAAACTTAAGTCAACACACGTCACCTGTGAGAAAACACAGCGACAAAATGTAAGGTTGGCAGCCGAGGTGTTTTCAAACACAACAGCGACGGCGCTGAAACGGTATTTACCTGGTTCGAATAAAATATTGGCCAGAGATGTTGGAGAATTTATTGAACTGGTAAATAACTGGTTCGATATCATGAACAGTTATACTCCGTCAGCTGTCGTTCCTACAAAAAGACCTTTTGGATTGAATATGATTCAACAAAATGCTACATTAGAAGACATGAAGGCAACTATTAGTGGCATGACTTGCTGTGGGAAAAAAAGCCTGTAAACCTTCCAGAGGGGAATTGTAATGAGTATTAATTCATTGCAAGGGTTGTTCCAGCACCTCAAGGAAACCATGAACATAAGTTACATCTTAACCCATCGCTTAAATCAAGACTGTCTAGAAAATTTCTTTTCTCAGGTATAGACTTTGCATAATTTTTTAATCACATTTACAAAATATTTGTTTTTAGCTTAGAACCAGAGGAGGCCTTCATGACCACCCTTCGCCTTTGAATGCGTTGTACCGGATTCGCATGATTCTTCTGGGTAAGAATCCAGGCCTAGTCCAAAAATCTGCAAATGTAGAAATCCCTGTGGAATGTGAAGACGATAGTTTTGTTTTGGCTGCAGCCTTGAAACGTGCTAATATTGAGAACATACAAATTACTGAACCTCAACCAGTGAATGTCGAGGATGATGCCAGCTCTACAAACAGTTCCACTGGATCTATTTCTTCGACATCTGTTGCGGAAAAAGGTGGTCTTTTGTATGTAGCAGGGTATTTAGCAAAAAAATTTTTAAAGGAGTACTCATCTCTTGGTCGATACACGCACGAAACACAGGAGGCGATGAATTTGCATTCATATATGATGCCATCTTGGATAGAGAGCCTGTCATTTGGAGGACTAATACAACCCTCAGAAATTTGGATGCATCAAGTGGAGGCGATGGAAAAATATTTCCAACGTTTCCACAAAAACGATATCGTGAAAGGCAAAAACATTACCAACAACACAGCTATGTATATTAAAAAAAAAGTTTATAATTTGATGATTCCAGACAAGTTGGTTAAAGCTTTTGCTCGTCAAAGGATCTTTATTAGGATCAAATTTTTAAATTTTCGAAAAGAGGAAGCTAAACTGCGGAAACGGAAGCATGCGTTAGCAGGTGCATCTACAAAAACAGTAAAAAAAATGAAGAAAATTGTAAATTAAAACGTCTTTTCGTTTATCGTAGTTTTATTGTTATTATTTTAAACCCACCATTTACCCAAATAAACGACCGGCATTCAAGTAAGATTTGCACTATTACCTGTAACAACACTAACGATACCAATAATTTATTCTAATATAATTTCATGTGTTGATTTAAAAAGATCACAAGTTGCTTAAAAAACATGTTGTAGTAGACACGACAAGTTGATACATGACATTTTTAAACGAATACAGGATATACCCAAAACTGAGATGACTTGCAGTAGAACTAGATTGTTGTCTTTATAACAGTAAAACATGTCAATTAACTGAATAAGTAAATAATACTAAGGTACTAACAAATTTTTTTCGGTCACCTATTAGTTCACTCCAAGAAATTTGTGATTAACAATGTTCACAGTGTCTGTGAGCTATAATTTTATTTGACGATAGTACACTTTTTTTTCATTTAATATAATTATTTTTGATTTGACAACAAAATTTGATTGTTGCTGAACAGTTAGCGAGTCACGTTATGCATAACGTTGTTTAAATGAGGCTGCTGAGTGACGTCAATTCCCGCCAGTTTCCGCCTCGCTCTGATTGGCCCATACTTACCAGGCAACCTATATACTTTACGAATCTTGAAGCAAAACTAGCTTTCTTCCAGCTGATGCCGAGCCGCCATTTTAAGTCCAAGGTAGTGAGTAAAGCAATTGCGGAACTCTCTCTACAGGGACACTACTTAAGGTAGGTAGATATTATATATATATCTAGTGACTTTACTTAAGATGACCGCCACCCGCCACCATGTGGTAGTTAATTGTACTATTTGCACTATCGATTGACGTTTGACATGATATTTGACGTATATTCTTTCAAAAAGATGTCACAAAACCTAACCTATAAAGCTGACATTTGTGACAACTTGCATTCAATACGCTCTATTAGTGATGACGTAGATGACGCCATTTTTGTTGAGAGTGGTCAGTGCGTGAAGCTAAACATGAAACCAATGTTGATAAAGGGGGAGGTTAAAGCCAGCATGAAAGCAAACAATTATAACGTTGAGGTATGTTGGGAGTTATGCAGTTATGAGTTTTTAATTACATTTTTTTTAGGTTTCCTTTGATCTAGATGAAGGAGTTAAGGAGGCGTCATGTACTTGCCCAAGAGGAAAGGTCCTTTGCCACCATATGGCGGCTTTATTATACCATGCTCACTACCATGTGAGCACCACTGATGTGGAATGTCAGTGGAGTGCTCCACGCGTAAAAGGTGGTAATGGAGTGGTAAAATTAAAGGATATTTATCCAGCAAAGCAAAGTTATAAAGCTGGTCAGAGAAAGGCAACTGACGCAGAAATTACAGAATTTCGGAAACAATTAGGCGCAACAAATATTGTGGGATTTTCTTGGCTGTTGCGTCCTGAAGCCACTCAAGAGGCGTCCATGTTAATCCCAGATATTGAAGAAATTTTGCATTCACCCCAATACATATCGGCCGAAGACAAGGATGATTTTGTAATCAAAACAAGTAAAATAACCAAAGAAATAATTTCCCAAATTGTAAATTTGACAAAAGGGCAACATGTCAATGAAAACTGGCACATTGCCAGAAAGCATCGTCTAACAGCTAGCAGATTTGGTATGGTGCTGTCAGCAATTAAAAGGAATAAATTCCCTCCGTCGCTGTTTAAGAGTCTGGCGGAAGGTTACAACTTGGATCGGGTTGCGGCTGTACAGTGGGGCAAAGAACATGAAAAGACAGCTCTGCAAGCATTCAGGGAAGCTGTCGTTGCTGAAGTGGAACCAACTGGCTTTTGGTTAGATAGATCAGGATTTTTAGGGGCCAGTCCTGATGGATTAGTTGGATCTGATGCAGTGGTGGAAATAAAATGTCCGTACAAATATCGAGATGCCCTTTCCTTCAAGGAACTGGATAAAAAATACTTCTGTGGTATGAAGGAGAAGACTTGATAATTAACCAAGAACATAACTATTACCATCAGGTGCAGGGCCAGTTATATCTATCAGGTCGAAATGTCTGCCACTTTGTAGTGTGGACATTAAAAAACACACTAATTTTCCAAATAGAAAAAGATATGGAGTGGGGAAAAATTTGGAAACTTTAAAAAACTTTTATATTTCAAAGTATCTTCCATATATTTTAAAATAAAACAATTGTACATAAGAAATTATGTAGTTTTTTTTTCTGGTGGGGGCGAAATCCTCCTGGAGCATGGTTCCACTATTTTGGGAAGTTTCAGACTCTTACTAGCTGACTTCCTGTGGTCTGGTGTTAAGGGACTCCATGAGCATTGCTTTAAAGGTTTTTTTTTTAACGTACAATGTTTCATTAAACGTTTACTCGTCGTTAAAAAATTGGCTCACTTCTCTAATAAGGGGATATTGTAGATTTGTTAATGCTGCCACAGCTTTAAATACCACATCCCCATAACTACATAATGAGCCTGGCATGAAATTTAAAATGTGATAGCACTTCATGCGTCGTATAGCCCGTTCCACATGAATTCTTGCACGTGCTATATTTTCAGTGCATTGGACTTGTTCTGGTGTAAACTGGGGACTTCTTAAAAATGGTGGAATATTCACACTCACACCAGGAGGCAATATATTTTGAATAAGAAAACCCCTGTCGGCTAATATTAAATCGCCCACTTCTAACTGTTTTAATATCCCACAATCCTGTACAACTTTTTGATCTGAAGTAGATCCTACGTACAGGTCACTTACATAGGTAATGACACCATTTGGAGCCACACCTATTAAGCCCTTAAAAGTGTTGTGGTGTTTGTAGCTGCTGTACGTAAGACGTTGCTTTTTCATTGACGTTCTAGCAACAACTGTAAATATTTATGTACAGTCTAGAACTGCTCTGCAATTTGTAAAATTGCTGAAGCTTGTTGGCAAACAAGACTTATTTTTCTGTCGAGATGGTATCACCTCCATAAATTGTTGATATAGGACTTCATAAATTAGATGCACATATGTAATCACGATATTCGTTACAGCTGCTTGCGAAATATCGAAACGTTGTGCTAAATCTAGGTGGGGGCAGTTTAGCCGAAGTTTCATCAACGTCAGCAGCAGTTGATCAATTTTATTCAACTTTTTGATGCCCCATTTTAAGTACCACTTAATCTCAATGTTTTCAATGAGCTTAAATAAAGTCTCAAAAATTGTACTTTTTGGCAGTCCAGTGTACAAAAGTACAAGTCTGTCATTATTCTTAATATTCTCATATGAAAATCTCACTGAGAGGTACTTAATCTTTTCCTCACATTCTTGGAGTCTTTGTTTTAAAAAATACACTTCAACTTCCAGAGCAACATTTGAAGCAGCTGACACCGATTGAGCTGCTGAAGATGGCCCTGCACTGGAGGTTGATGGTCTTGCATGTGATGCTGATGGTTCTGAAAACATTAATGTTTAAGTGATCCGCTGACACTTGGTTAATCATAAGAAGAATCTTAAATATAACGCCTCACAATTTGCTGATGTTGGATATGAATAATAATTACCTTCGACAGTTAATATTGCCACATCTCTAAACGATGTTGAAGTTGATGGCATTCTAAAAATTTAAATGGTTTAATGCAATAAATATGTATTTTTATTAATCATTACTCTTCAGCTGATGAAGGACCAGGTATTGCTGGATCATCGAAAGTCTTCATCTTCCTTGTTCGCTTCTTTTTTTTCTCAGGCGTTGAAGCAATGAATTTTTTTTTAATATTATGTAAGAACAACTCAGGGCCATTCTTTTTCTCTCCGTCCCTAAAGTGGCAACTGCAGACGTATGCACCAGGGCCTGGTTCAACATCTCTCCTAAAAAGTTAAAAACGATTTTATAAATATGAAAAAATATGTTATGATGTTCACCTAAGCAAACGTTTCCATTTTGCACTTTCCTTTTCCGATTTCGGAAACCTAAAAAACCTACAAGTATCGCGGGTACTGTAGTGCTTGCAATCAGGTGCCCAACACATTCCCATTTTGCCCCTTCAAAGGTCTGAGTTCAACTCCTCTACAAATAATATAAATATTAAGAACAAACAACTTTTCGTTTTTATATGAGTCAGCAAGTTACCTCACTTTGTTATTATGTGAGAGGAAATATTAATAGTTCGGCTGCTTTGCAGGATTTTGAATTTACACACAAAGAAAGAAAGTGAGGTTAAAACGTATCAACATAAAATTTTAACAAAAGAAGAATCCATCAGGACGTTTAATCAATTCTAGATTGTTTATTAGTACTTACCAACACTCACAATTCACTTTTGATACACTACAACTGTATAATAAGTTTATAATTAATAAAAACACGCAAAACCCTTAACAATTCGGTGTTTGTTTAGCTTCACTGTGCTTGACCTACCACAACTGCTACGTCACACTAATATGGCGTAATGACATTTTTACGCAAATTTCATTCATTATTGTGGACAGTTTCATCATAGTATCCAGTAGGCGGCGCTAGGAACTTTAAGCTCCCGTGGCCTTCTGTGATCTCTTCGAAAAAAGACCATTTTCATCTCGGAGTTCGCAGACCTGTTATATACGGCCGTGAACGCAACAAAAACTAATAACATCTTTATATTTATGCAGGTTATGTCAATGCCTTCATGTTCTCCACAAAATGGCAAAAAGAAGTGCATGTAGTGTAAGCTGTAAAAATTTGGTTACAAAAAACGTGAAAGTGAACGACTCGAGTGATTTTTGGGAGGATGATTTGGATGAAGATGCCATCGATGACTGCTTTAAAAAAGCGACACAGGTGTTAAATGAATGTTCAATTGATCCAAGTACAGAATAAAACAATATGGTTTTTTAGGAAGCTGCTGCGGATGTTTCTTTGATGTCATCATATAACAGTGTTTTTAAGAAACCGAAGCACATGTTAACATCTACCCAGTACTCACAACCAGCTCTTGAAAAGCAAGTCAGCATTGAGGAACGAATTCGAAAATTAGAAGAGAAATATTCAGCAAAAGAAGGAGAAGCTTCAATTTTACGATTGAATTTACAGAATCTCAGAACATCGTGTCAATTAGATCAAGAGCAAAAGGATTTACAATGGAAAGAAAAGTTGTCTATTATTGAAAAAGAAAATAAAACGATTAAGAGCGATTTAGAATTTAAGGTTGGTATATGCTTTCATATGCATTAATTCTTTTACTTCTTGAATATCTTAAAAAAAAGTTAATATGTAGTGAATTCCACAAATATCCGAACTGTCAAGTGTCAGAATTAGTTAAATGCACTAAATGCCATGGAGTGTACCACGGTGGTATAAGTAAGGTGTTTCAACTCCATTCATAAATTTTCATAAAACGGGCGCTTAAAAACTGGTATCGTAGTAGGTTGTGGGAGCTAAAGTCACTAGATAGATTAAGTACCGCAATCCATTAGGCCCATGAGTTAGAGAGAGAATGTCAATTTTGCCCCAAAATGGTGGCGCTTTTTAGTGTCTTTTGTACATTACTAAAAGTTTACTGGTAGAAGTGCTTCAAGGACGCATTCTCTGCTACGTCACATAAATTGAGTTCTGTGGTGTATAGCACGTGTATAATAATAAATAATAATTAGTTTATTGTTAGTTGCATTACGTATCTCCCAGCCCTTTTTATATTCTTGTTCTCCCAAAACCTGGTAACTGGAAATTTCCAATTTTTGTTTGTTTAAAAAATAATTACCTTCTCAGCATTTACCTCCCATAATAATGTTGATGTCTATTATTTTCACTATATACCAAAGTATATAGCCCTCTTGGCTAAATATTTTTGCATTCCTTGAAAAATTCAGATTTCAGATAAATAACATTTAAATTTACCGCTTTTTTGCCCCAAAATGGAGGAGCATTGCGGTACTTAATCTATCTAGTGACTTTAGTGGGAGCTTAAGATGACCGCCACCATGTGGTAGTTAATTATACTATTTGCACTATCGACTGACGTTTGACATGACATTTGACGTATATTTCCCCTCATCTTTCAAAAAGATGTCACAAAACCTAACCTATAAAGCTGACATTTGTGACAACTTGCATTCAAGGACATTTTTACGCAAATTTCATTCATTGTTGTGGACAGTTTCATCATAGTATCCAGTAGACGGCGCTAGGAACTTTAAGCTCCCGTGGCCTTCTGGGATCTCTTTGAAAAAAGACCATTTTAAACTCGGAGTTCGCAGACCTGTTATATATGGCCGTGGAGTGTACGTTGGTGAAAAATTTTTGCTGAAAGTGGATCAAAATCTAAATGCATGTCCTGGTTCTCTGACAGGTTATCTTGATAATTTTAAGCAATCAGAACAATGGCGCAAATACGTCAATAGGTATACAAATTTAAAAACACTTATGAGAAAGCTATAGGTACCTATACTACAATTTAATACTTTTTAGGGAATATTTGTTGGATTTTAAAATCACGAATTGTTTGATGTGAAAAATTGCAAAAATTCTTTGAAAGTGTATATCTGATAATATCAAAGAATTTCTAACTTTTACAAAAATTATTACTTCTATTAAATAGTCAAATTGCATATACTGAAAATAAATCATATTTATCAACAATAGACAGAATATAAATCACAAAGTGACTGTTTGTCCAGTCAAAATAGACATAAAAATAGTGATCAAATAACAAAAACTCCGACAGAGCTGAATTTTGGTAGATACCTTGAGTACACCAGTATAAATAACGTGCCAAAAGTCCTTATAGATCCCATGTGTGCTAAAGAAGTTATTCAAGGTCAAAGGTCAAAATTTTTATTTTTTTGGATTAACGGTAAGTTTTATCAAAAATATAGTTCAGACAAAAATTATAGAGCATAAAATTATCTACAAAAATGGTCCTTATGCTTTTTTTTCCTAAGAATCACCATTCCTAAGATATCACCGTTCTAATAGTTGAGGGAGTTGCATTTTACATATGTACATATTTCCACACCACCTGTGAGGTAGTGTACTTGGCGCGTTTTTTTTAACGTGGTTTCCCCAGTAGGCCTACGATCTGTTATGAGGTTATGACGGAGTTTTATGGGAAAATACTGTATTTACTGCATGATGATTATTGATTTTGATATTGATATAGTTGATTGATTTAAACTATAGTCCCAATTTCTGTTAACATTCATACTCTTCAAATTCGACTGCAACAGTCATGGTCTTCTTCAATTTCTTCTTCTTCCTCTTCTTCTTGTTGGGTGTTCATAAATTGTTCAACTGAAGATCAATCAGCTGTCTCTTCATCGATATCACATGAATCTTCGTCTGTTGGATTCAATTGAACATTCGAACAAGAGTGTCCTTGGCAATTAGTGCACGCTGGTGAACACAACAACCCTACTCTTCTACAGCCACATTTAGTACAAAAAATTGTGTTTAGGAGTTTTTTCGGAGCAGGTGGAAGTATAGTTTGAATCGGTTCCAAAGTATTATCTGTTAATTTCCAACCCCAGTCTTCGGGGTTCAGTTGATAGCCTAGCCATGTCTGAATTTGATAGTATACTCGATACAAGATGGTTGTACTTGTTTCTTGTTTCGTTTTTTTTTTTTACGAAAGTTAAATATCTATACTTGTCGATACAATTAATTTTTTTGGAGCTCCATAAACAGCAAAGAGAAAGCAAATGCCTTTTGTGATTATCGTTTGAGGAGACGAGTCAATTTCTTCAAATACTTTAGCGCAATCAATTAAGTCCTTTTTTTCAAATAATTTCAGGCCTGATGTTTTACCCCTTCTGAATATTGCTGATGTACGAGTAGTATCGCAGCCGGTTATTGCATGTAAAAATAAAATATGGTTTTGGCATTTTGGATAAGCAAATAAACATCTTGAAGAATATATTTCTCTTCGCTGTTGAGCCTTTCCAGGTTTTAAAAAGTACATAAATAATTTTTTTCACTAGCAGCCATGGAGCATCCAAATGTCGACTCATTTAGAGGTAGCAAATTCAACTTTTGCGACCACCGGTTCAAAAAGAAGATTGAGGTTATGTACGCAATACTTGATGTGATTATTTCTTAAAAAATGAATAAATGTGTGATATTAACATTACTTGAGTATACGCATGGTAGTTGGTAGACGGTAGAAGATAAAATGATTAACTCAGCGACAAGTATAAACGGTTTTCTTTGTGTTGAAGATTTAGATTAAGTTTGATTAGAAATCAAAACAAAATCACGTTGCGTCAAAAAATTGAACGTTTATTTTTTCAATTTATTGTCTTATAGTTTCTACTAGTGAAAAAATAGTATATTAACCACGGTTGCAAAGCCACTTCTAGACCTCGCGCTTCAGAGCCCTCGACGCTGCGCGTCTCGGGTTCTAATTTGCGCTCGGTCTAGAATGCTTGGCTCTGCAACCTTGGCTAATAATATACTATTTTTCACTAGCAGCCTGGGCGCATGCAAATGTCGACTCATTTAGTGGTAGCAAATTCAACTTTTGCTACCACGGGTTCAAAAAGAAAAATTGAGGTTATGTACGCAATGTTTGATGTGATTATTTCTTAAAAAATGAACAAATGTGTGCTACAAACATTACTTGAGTATACGCATGGTAGTTGGTAGACGGTAGAAGATAAAATGATTAACTCAGCGACAAGTATAAACGGTTTTCTTTGTGTTGAAGATTTAGATCAAGTTTGATTAGAAATCCAAACAAAATCATGTTGCGTCAAAAAATTGAACGTTTATTTTTCAGTTTATTGTCTTATGGTTTCTCTAGTGAAAAAAATAGTATATTAACCACGGTTGCAAAGCCACTTCTAGACCTCGCACTTAGAGCCCTCGACGCTGCGCGTCTCGGGTTCTAATTTGCGCTCGGTCTAGAATGCTTGGCTCTGCAACCTTGGCTAATAATATACTATTTTCGCCTCCTGACATGTAAACAAAACATTCATACACCTTTGACATGCCGCGTAACAATGACTTTACGCACCAAATATCAATTTACCGTTGCTTACCCGCCTTTGGGTGCCAAAGTAATTCAATATGCATTAGCCTCTAGAAGCTCTAATAAAAAAAGTTCTGTATAAATAATAAAAGAAAACATACTAGAATACTACTTTACATCATGTTTTGTTCGATAAAAACTTTTGAATTAGAAAAAATGAATTATTTAAAAAAAAATCACATGGCGCCATCTCGTGGCTGTCGGTATTATAGATTCCTTCAGTAAACGTCAAGTCTAGATTTCGGCGAAAAAATTGAATACAATTTTCGTGCGTTAGGCATTTTGCAGGTTTCGGTCCCATGCCATCCTCCGCTTCGCGTCGGGTGGCAAATTAGGACCTCAACCTGCAAAATGTTACCTACTGCACTCATAATGTAAATAACTATTATCAATCTATGGTAGAAGATAAGTGTTATGTAATGACATTCAGTAGGAAAGTAAATGTGGTAAAATCAGACTATACCATCAACGGTCGGATTCTTTGCAAGAAGAATAAGGTAAAGGATCTTGGTGTTCTTTTTGATTCGCGCCTTTCATTTGTGGAGCACATCAGTAACATATCCACCTCAGCATCTAAAATGCTTGGATTTATATTTCGGGTATCAAAAACTTTTCAAGATCCTCTTCTGTTAAAAAGTCTGTATTTTGCGTATGTGGTAAGCAAGATGGAATATGCCTCTGTTGTCTGGTATCCTTACTATGTGATACATAATCTTGCTGTTGAAAAGGTACAGCGTCGCTTCTTGAAGTATCTTTCGTATAAGATTGATGGATTTTATCCTCAAAGAAATGTAGACTACAATTACCTCCTTCAGAAACATGGATTTGTTAGTTTAAAGAATCGACGTGAAGAGCATAGTGCTCGTTTCATATCCAGATTGATAAGTGGCAAGATAGATTGTCCTGAATTGTTGGAAAGAATCAATTTTCATGTACCACGTGTTGCGTCTCGCTACATGGCCACGTTTCATCAACCAATTTCTAGAACGAATTTGCTAAGAAAGGCACCGTTAGTTCATATGTGTAGTAATGCTGATAAACTGTATGATGATATTTTTTTTCTCCCAAGTAAACTGTAATGTGTTCGTTTATTTAGTTTATACTAAGGATAGCTTCTAATTGTGGGTATGATAATAATTTAGTTTGGGAACGAATATGATCTAATTTACATTTTTATTTTACG